TCGGAAGGGCCTTTGCTGTGGTGCAGCCCCCCCAGGGCTGTGCCGGTGAGCCCCTGGTAGCGCCTGTCTCGAGCTGCAAGCTCCGTCCTGTATGCAAACCTCCGAACTGGGGCCAACAGTAAGGTGACTCCCTCTATTTATTTATTTTTTTTAGCCACCTTTGTATCAAAACTTGATCTGCGAGCCTTGGTCATTCTCTGTATGCAGCTTGGGTTACAGCTCCCCTCCCGCCTGTTAGTCATCACCGGGGATACGACGTGCATCCCTTTTATTGCTTCCAAGGCCACCCCTGCCGCTGTTTTCTCTCCAGCTGGAAGGGGGAGAGGTTGTTTCCTGCCCCCCTCAGCAGCAGAGGCCCTGTCACTGACCCCATCCAGGGGAAGGGGAAAAAGAAAAAATCAAGGCTTTGGTGTGGGTAAGCAGCTGGCTGCCTTCCCAGGCTGGCGGCCGTAATCGGGCAGCACCACGCTCTGCCCTGGCTGCTGGGGACGGTTGTGTCGGTGCCTGATTGTGGTGCTGGGTCTCCCCCGAGCCCCAGGTGCTGGGACGGTGGGGACGTGGCGGGGACAGCGGTACCGGGCTGGGGCAGGGTGGGCGCAGCCGTGGCAGCCTCGCTGCTCCGCTCCCAGCCCTGCCTGTGCCGTTGTGTGGGGGTGCTTTGTTTTGGTGGGGTTGGTTTTCTCGACCACCTTCTGCTGCGCTAAAGGAAACCCACACAAACCCGAGGGGAAGCTGTCACGCAAGTGGGCAAAGAACAAGCGAGAAGATGGTGAAACTATCCATCTTTGCTGGAGTTTTAGTGAACTTTGAAACCAAAGCAATTGTGTTAAACGCCTTGTGAGCTTCTTGCTCATCCCTTGGTTTAACTTTCACGTGAAATCATCTAAATTTTATGGTTGCTCCTAAACTGTGCCCATGTCTAACGACCTGACCATAGAACTGTCGTTAACAGAAAAACCGCTCTGGGTGGGCCTGGGAGCGGCGCAGTCCCCCCGGGCTGTGGCTTTGTGACAGTGAAGGCTCCAGCCGAGGGCTGCCCACACGGGGCGGTGCTGGGGTGTCTGTCCCACTGCCACGTCCCCAGAGGATGGAGAACCAGCGAAACCAGCCCTTGCTGGAGCAGGGGAGCAGCCGGTGCTGGGGGGTGGCGGGGAACAGCCGCAGCAGCATGAGGGTCTGGAGGGAGGAGCGGGCCCAGCCCATAGCCCCGTGGCCAGGGCAGGCGTTACGGCAGCTGATGGCGCCGGCGGCTCGACACGCTCTGGCTGGGAGATGGCAAACATGGAGTGCAGCGGGCGTCCGGCTGCGTGGGGCCCATCCAGGTCCCTCCCCAGCCTCTGCTTCCACAGAAATTAATCCCTTCGTTTTGCCTTGCGTGCTGGTGGAGTTAATTACCCACAACGTCCAGCTGCCTTGGACAGGGTTCTTGAGCAAGCCGTGGCTCGGCAGCGTGTGGGGCTCATCCTGACAGAGAGGTGTGGGGCCCGTTGCACTAACCCTGGTGGCTGACAGTGCTCTGCCTCCCGCCGCGGGCTCTCCCTGGGCAGGTCCCTGTCCCCATGCTGCTGGAGCTGCCCCGGGGGTCTCTGCTGGGCTCAGCCCCCTCTGCCCTGTGTCCCTGCAGGAGGATCGAGGACTGCCTGCCCCCGCTGGAGGACTCCCCGTCCAAGAGGTTCTCCCCTTCCAAGCGCAAGCAGTATTACATCAACAAGGCCATCCGCAACTCCGACCTCACCCCCCGGGCCAAGGGCCGCAAGAGCCTCCAGCGGTTGGAGAACAGTAAGGGCCGGAACCAGGGCTGTCCCCGTGCTGGGTCTCCTCCCCAGTTCAGGCAGCTGCTGCCCTAAACCCTGTGCTGCGGGGGGAGCTGGGGGCGCAGGGCCTCTCTGGGGGCTCTGCCTCCCCTCTCAGGGGCTTTGCTCTCCCCCCCAGCTCGCTACCTAATGACGCTCCTGGAGCGCGACGAGTGTGGGAGCGACGAGGGAGAGCTCGCCCACTCCGCCACCCCGAGCATCTTTGCCGAGGCCTGTAACAACGAGACCTACGTGGAGGTAGGGGGTCGCTGGGGGGCCCTGGCACCCGCAGTTCTGGCAGTACGCGCTGTCCGTGCCTCATCTCTCTGAGCCTGGGAGCCCTCTGCCTCCCTGGCCTGGCCTGCAGCCCCTGCCCAGTGATGGCATCCCCCTGGTCCTGCAGCCTCGGAGGGATCTCTGGGCAGATGGAGGGGCTGCACAACCGCGCAGTGTGAGACCCGGGTCTCGCTCAGCGGGGGCTGCTGCCGGCCCTGGCGGCGCCCGGAGCCCTGCGAGCCACGGCGTTTCCCCCAACAGGCCTGTGGCCAAACGCCTGTTGCCTCACGCTGCCCGGCCGCTGTTGCGGTGACGGAGACGCAACCGGGAGTTTTGAAACTCGTCTTCTCCCCAGCGTGATGCTCAGGGCTCTGGCTGCTGAGCGACCTGCCCGCTCCGTGCGTGCGCTCTTGGCTCTGCAGAGCTCTTCTCTCGCTCAAGCCAGGCTTAGGGAGCCTGATGTAGACCTGGGTTTGAGGCTGGGTTGCACGGATGGGCTGTTGTGTCAGCACCTGCACTCCCAGTAATTGTTAAAAAACCACCTTTGTGTGTTGGCTCCGAGTGTTAAATCTGCATCTCCTCCCAAATTATTGGTACAAGCTATAGTGGACAATCAGGAGCTGGAGAGGCAGGGAGAAGGGTCGTCATGGCTGCGGCTCATGGCCGCTGTGGGCTGTGGCTCATGTTTGCCGTGGCTGTGGCATGTGGGCTGGCTGGGCAGCGCCGCAGCTGTGGAGCTCTGCCCAGCCCCGTCCCTTCTCCAAGCTGCCATCCCTGCTCTGCCTGGGCCATCCCTGGGCACAGGTGGGTGAGGAGGAGGCTTACGGGGTGCCCCTGCACCACCGGGTGCTCCCTGGAGGCCTCTGCAGTGGGAGCTGGTGGCTTCTGTTGTCAGATCTGGAACGACTTCATGAACCGGTCGGGAGAAGAGCAAGAGCGAGTCCTGCTCTACCTGGAGGAGGAGGCCAGGAAGAAGCACAAGAGGAAGCTGCCCACCAAGAACAAAGACAAATGGAAAGGTGCTGGGAGGGGGCGCTGGGTGGGGAGGGCCTCTCCCTTTCCTCCCTTGCAGGTGTTTTGGGAAGGGCTCTCTTTCCCGAGGGCTGCATCCTGCTCCCTGCAGCATCTGCTCCCCGCGGGGCCAGGGCATGGCTGAGCCGCCCCCTCGGGCACCGCAGGGGCAAAGCTGGGGGGTTTATGCGCATCAGACCCCCCATGGGCATGGGAGGGGCTGGGGCAACGGGCACAGCGGCTGCCCCCTGAGCCTCAGCACCCTCCAAACGCT